CTGTGTAACTCTGACTTTCAAGTGGACTTTAAAAAAATATATTTTGGCAGGAAAAGTACAAGAAGGACTGGCAAAATGATGTCTTACTGGAAAGCAAAGAGGATAGCAATGACAACAAAGTAGTGTAAACAGGGACAGGTGCCAGGTTGAAGAGTCTCCCACTAGCTAAAAATGCAAGTATTTAAGCATTAATAAGAATAATTACTATTCTTAACTGCACTGAAACACACCAGATATTTTTAAATCTACTGCATTATAATAATTCTTAGAAAACCGTAAAACAAAGACTCTGTGGACACCATTATCAATAATACTAGGAGACAACAAATTCAAGCTGTTAAAAAATCAAATGTTTATCCTCTGTTATTTAACTAGACAAACCCAATCTCAGTGTGAAGAATAGCTGATCATAGGTTTCTCCTTGTAGAAGTATCCCAGTCTTTAAATAAAGAACAATACAGTCAGACTATCACCATTTTTCAACCTTCATGGATCTAGTCAACGTCACCAATGACTAGTAGCATCAAAAAGGAGGGATACCCAGACATTACATGCCTCTTGACGGAAATACACAACATCTCATCTTAACTGTTCCTGTCAAACAAAACTGAACATGACTGACTACCAATCCAACTACCCACTCCCAGGAAATAGAAATAACCAGAGAAACATGGTGCACCATAACAGGAGGATATTGTCCACAAAATTCAGACCACAATCTGCCCTAGATGCCATACAAACATCTTCTTCTCCATAACTGTATTGCGACAATAACAAAAGGGAGAAATCTAGAGAGTAACTGGTATGACTCCACCCACTGAAAACAATTAGAACACTGGACAAAACATGTGAAAACACTGTTTTTCAGATACTGAACAGGCAGCACACACCTGTGAGGCCTGAGAGGACAACAAACAGGTGAGCCAGGTGATAACTCGCTTTCTGCCTGCAGGCGCCGTCTAGACCTCAGCGCGGAGAGCCACAGCAATCTCACCAAGGAAGTGGAGATCAGCTTGGAGAGTGTGAGGGGCTTGACACATGAAGGGAAAGGCACCAGAGAGAGGAGGGCAACTGAGAAAAAGAGGGCCAGAAACCTGCCAGGAGGTCTCCATCAGTTTTGGGCTGAATCCTAAGCAGTACTGTGTCAGCTAAGAGTCCTTGAGGATAGGCAAAGAACAATCGAATAAGAACAACCAGCAGGGTGTGAGAGGGCTGGGAGACATGCACGGCCGCTCGTCAGCAGGAACTGGCTGTGCAAGAGGACATGGGAGAGTGCTCGGCGAATCAATCAAAGCCACAGACACGCACACCAGAGTGGCTGAAATTCAAGACTTATAATACCAAGCATTAGCAAAGAAGTGCAGCCCGTGGAAGCCTCATAAACTGCTGGTGGAGTAGGAAGTGGGGCAGCAACTCTGGGCAACTGTCTGGCAGTTTCTTGTAAGGGAACACAAACACCATCCACGGTGGCAACTTCACTCCTATGTATGTGTGCCTTTGCACTGCCATGGACATGAAATTCTACACTAGCAAAAACCAACATACATAATTATATACCAGTGGCTGCCTGGAGCAGGTAGTGAGGGAGATTTACCAGGAAGCTTCAGGAGTGAACGTTTCTGAATGAAGGAAATAGCCTATAGCCTGATTAGCTGTTTTTACATAAGTGTGAACACCTGCTAAAACCTGCTGGGCTCTACTCCTAAAAATGGGTGCATTGATTGTATGTAATTTATATCTCATTAAAGTTAACTTAAGATACATAGCAACCTATTACAACATTTGTACCTCAACAAGAACCTACTTAGGATAAGAATAATTTTTAAATGGAGGGGGAGGGGATTCTGAACATGCCCAATATTGGATGACTGGAATGAGTTACTGTTAATGTGGGTGCTGGGTCAAGAGTTCATTACACAGCCTTTGCTTGTTGGAAATTTCCATCATAAAATGTTATAAAAAGAATCCAGGTGTAATTTCACATACTTAAAGGATTACTAGGTAGAAAAGGAATTAAGATTCTGTAGAGGAAACAAGATGGAGGAAAATTTCTTGTCAATATAAGAATGAAAGGGTTGACACTGTGGCACAGTGGGTTAAGCCTCTGCCTGTGGTAACAGCATCCCACATGAGAACAATGGTTCAAGTCCTGGCTGCTCCACCTCTGATCCACCTCCCTTGCTAACGCACCTGGGCAAGCAGTGGAAGATGGCCCTACTCCTTGGGCTGCTGCTACCCACATGGGAGACCCAGGTGGAGTTCTTGGCTCCTTGCTTCAGCCTGCTGTTACAGTCATTTGGAAGTGAACCAGTGGATGGAAAACCTCTCTCTCTCTCTCTGTTCCTTTCAAATAAATAAATAAATAGATCTCTAGAAAACAATACAAGAATGAAGTAGAGGAACATGTAGCCTTGTAAAGTAGATGCCTTTACTGTAGGAACTGTTGATGTGCAAGCCTCATAACTTCTTGTCAGGGCTACAGCAGAAGAGATCACTGCAATGAGCAAGAAGTTTGATGAGTAGTCCTCTAAGGTCTCTTCCAACCTTAAGATTCCACTATTGATCACCTATCAATCTAGGAATCTGACCTCTGGTACAGTTTTTCCGATTGACTCACAACCTGTTACTCCCCAGTCCTAAAAAATAATTACCTACAGCACTTGATACTTCACATAAACATATATTCTCCATTTCCCCAATGTTCACACAGATTTGATAAGCCTTTCTCTTAAGCCTATCAAAATTCAGAATTACACTTTATATTTCTTAGAATCTTTTATTTCTAGCACAACATCATATACGTATTAGACCATCAAAATGGTTTTTGGACAATCCCCACTTTTTTTCAAGATTTATTTTCTTTATTTGAAAGAGAGTTAGAGAGAGAGAGGTAGAGACACACAGAGAGAGGTCTTCCATCAGTTTCACTTCCCAAATGGCCACAGCTCCAGAGCCAGAAGCTAGGAGCTTCCTCCGGGTCTCCCACAAGCGTGCAGGGGCCCAAGGATCTTCCGCTACTTTCCCAGGCCACAGCAGAGAGCTGGATCAGAAGAGGAGCAGCCGAGACTAGAACCAGTTTTTCCTGCTATGCCACAGCACCGGCCCCTGGACAATCCCTTTCAAGTGAGCACCTTATAACCTGTGCTTCTCTATCCTGCAATTAAGTCCATGTCTTCTCCTCTCATCCTAACCACAGTGCACATCCCTACAAAAGTGTGTTTACCAACCCAAGCCAAGAAGAGGGCTCTACGCACATCTAGAAATACAGTGAAGGGGGGCCAGCGCTGTGGCACAGTAGGTTAATCCTTCACCTGCGGGGCCAACATCCCCTATGGGTGCCGGTTCAAGTCCCGGCTGCTCCACTTCCAATCCAGCTCTCTGCTATGGCCTGGGAAAGCAGTGGAGGGCGGCCCAAGTGCTTGGGGCCCTGCACCCATGTGGGAGACCCAGAAGAAGCTCCTGGTTCAGACTGGCACAGCTCTGGCCATTGCAGCCATTTAGGAAGTGAACCAGTGGATGGAAGACCTCTCTGTCTCTCCCTCCTTCTCTCTCTATAACTCAAATAAATCTTAGGAAGAAAGACAGCCAGGCACTGAAGAAAGGATTCCTCTGCCAGCTGGAGGCTGTTAAATATATCAAGTGATGATGATCCATTCTGATTAAGTTATGAATTTGGAGGCTGCCTTGATCCCTAAGAATGTCACTATTCTAACTGTATGGATCGTACACACTTTCACCCGGGTGGCTGTCACCGTCACAAACTACCTTGGTGGAGAGCACTGGCCTGACCTTCCTCTATTACTCCCATCTTTGAGGCCAGGCCACAGAATTCCCTGGGGTACTCAATGTCCACATGCGGCCCTCTGATCGTCCAAATGAGAATGTGGTAAGGGCTGAAATCCCGCAAGATGCCAGGCACTGCACCAGACACCTGACGTGATCAATTCATTCTGTTCTCACAACAGTCTGAGTTGGTATTATCTACTTTGTTCAGATGATCAAGCTGAGGTTCAAAGTGTCAAAGGTTAGTAATTTGCCCAGACTTCTAACCCATGACTTTGGAATTTGAAACCAGGTCATCCTGGCACAAAATCAATACATTTTACAGAACAACAACAACAAGAGAAAATCCCTCTTGCCTACGCCAGTCTTGAAATAACAGAACCTAGACGAAACCACCTTTGTTGAGGAGGATCCTTTCTCAAGGGCAACCGGGGCTCCAACTGGTGAAAGCTTCTCATTCCCTTAATTTATCAAGACAAATGGTCAATGGCAACAAACACCACAAGGGGGAGCTAAATCCTAAAAAGCTTAGCTAAACAGAAAGCAGATTAAATGTCTCGCTCTTTAGAAAGATCAGTCTGAAAACTGCTTTAAGCAACTCTTTCTAAGAAACAGATCCATGGACAGTAAGACAACACGCATCATGGCACCAAGCAAGACTTGCCCCTGGCTCCCTCCAACAGGCCGGCTCCTTCCTAGCTCCGCCATTGCACACCAGCTACTCACACTCGGTGTGCATCCCTTTTCTTCACGACTCCATTTCTCCCTCCCAAACTGCCATTTGAACTTCAACTCTGCTTAAAATGTCTCAGCTAACTTTGAACCTTATCTGCCATCCTCTCACCACAACAAACCAATTTATCCAATCATTCCACCCTCAGTTAAACACTTTGCTCTCTGCCCATGTCACATGAGGTTTCAAGGGAAGGTCTTAACCTCCCAGCCAGCCTAAAGGGTTCTAAGGGCAAGAACCATAGTTTTTTTGTTTGTTTTTTGTATAGGTGCCCAGGTGCCCAGCCCTGGCATACAGCAAAGTGGGCTAAACTGACAGAGGTGTGTTAAAGCCACACACCTGTGGCTCATTTCAGAGGCCATCTTCAAAGGGATCAGGTGTCATTAGCATAAAGACATTTTAAAGGTCTTCAGCACATGCTAAAATCAACTTAAAAACTGTAATAGCCAACATGCTAGTGGAAGAACCCAGGTGGCAAACTTACCGTGTTAGTTACATAGAGCACGAATGAACAGGTTAAAAGAATTGCATTTTCCAAAGGCGTAACGTGTGCTGGCTCCTCCACCTTTGTCTCCAGTTGCTTCTTTGCATCAACAGCATTCACGGGAGTGCCTTCAGTCGTAATCAGCCCTAAAACTGAGGGGGAAAACGGCTATTTTATTTTGTGGTTTAGAGTAAGAATGTTCCTCAGTTTAAATATTTATTGAGGGCCGGCGCCGCGGCTCACTAGGCTAATCCTCCGTCTTGAGGCGCTGGCACACCGGGTTCTAGTCCCGGTCGGGGCGCCGGATTCTGTCCCGGTTGCCCCTCTTCCAGGCCAGCTCTCTGCTGTGGCCCGGGAGTGCAGTGGAGGATGGCCCAAGTGCTTGGGCCCTGCACCCCATGGGAGACCAGGATAAGTACCTGGCTCCTGCCATCGGATCAGCGTGGTGCGGTGGCCGCGGCGGACATTGGAGGGTGAACCAACGGCAAAAAGGAAGACCCTTCTCTCTCTCTCTCTCTCTCACTGTCCACTCTGCCTGTCAAAAAATAAATAAATAAATAAATAAATAAATATTTATTGAGTGCCCAGTACATCTAGGGCCTAGAATATGTGGTCCTACAGGTGACGATGCAGAGCGGAAACCTGCACCTGAGAAGCACGAGGGACACCTGGGAAGATTCCCCTGTGAAGGTCATTAATGTCATTCTGTGCTGGAACGTAAAGGAGGGGGCAAAGAGTTTGTTCTTGATTCAAAGGGAAGAATTTTCTTGAATTCTCAAAGTTTTTGAGCAAAAGAGTAACAAGTCTTAATGGTACACGACTCATCTTCAGCAAACAGAACCTTTTTGAGTTAAAAAAAAAAAGTGGTTTAGAAGAATTACATAAGAACGCAACGTCCTCTGGAACAGAGATCTCTGACATGTCACACCTCCTCCAATTAGCTGAAATCCTCTCCGTGGCGACCTCTCCTACACTGTGAGTACTGGGCTGTGGGGGTGGGGTGGGGTGTTAGCCCAGTGCTGTGGGGCCCTGCAGTGCTACAGGGTTATGGTCATAGCTATGCTCTCAGACCAGAACCTCTCAGAACACAAAACAGGGCCGGCGCCACGGCTCACTAGGCTAATCCTCCGCCTAGCGGCGCAGGCACACCAGGTTCTAGTCCCGGTCAGGGCGCCGGATTCTGTCCTGCTTGCTCCTCTTCCAGGCCAGCTCTCTGCTGTGGCCAGGGAGTGCAGTGGAGGATGGCCCAAGTGTTTGGGCCTTGCACCCGCATGGGATACCAGGAGGAAGCACCTGGCTCCTGGCTTCAGATCAGCGCAGCGCGCCGGCCGTAACAGCCATTTGGGGGGTGAACCAACGGAAAAGGAAGACCTTTCTCTGTCTCTCTCTCTAACTCTGCCTGTCAAAAAAAAAAAAAAAAACACAAAACAGTAACGAAGTGATCATGTCACCAAACTGGATAGAAAAACAACACTATCAGCTGCTTCTGATGTACTGGTAGAAGGAGCTACACAAAAATGAGGAAGCTGTTGATTCCATTATTGGGGCTGTATTTTTCTTTTTTTACTTATAAAGATAACTTTCTCATCTCTCACTGGATGGGTACTGTGCGCTGGGTGCTATTGGTTCACACTGGACTATTCCACACTGCCAAGTTCAGTACTGCTTCCTAGAAGCCCAAAGTATAAACAGGCTTGTATATAACTATCTTCTCCAAGTATTTTTAACTTTATTTGTCATATCCAGATAGCAAACCAAAAAAAGAACCAAGTAACACTGTATTCTATTTAGAGGAATGGGAAGTAGGGGGGTGAAGTGGAGGAAAAACACAGAATTTATGAGTTTTTGAGCCGGGGTTCTCAAATTTTAGCCTGCAGCTCCTGGGCTGGTGTTGTACAGCAGGTTAAGCCACCACCTGCGATGCAAGCATTCCATGGACACCGGTTTGAGTTCCAGCTGCTCTACTTCCAGTCCTGCTCTGTACTAACATGCCTGAGAAAGCAAGCCTGAGAAAGATGGCCAAAGTGTACCTGGGCCCCTGCAACCCATGTGGGAGAGCCAGATGTAGTTCTTGGCTCCAGGCTTCAGCCTGGCCCAGTCTCCCCACCCCCTTTCTCCCTCCCTCTCAGCATGTGTGTGTAACTCTGCCTTTCAAATAAATAAATAAATAAATAAATGTTTTAAACAAAGAAGAAAAATACATCGGGGGGACATTTGGCACAGTAGACAGTAGATAAGACATTGCTTTGGACAGCCACATCCCATATTGCAGTGCCTGGTTTGAATCCTAGCTACTCTGTTTCCCACCCATTAGCTTCCTGCTGATGTGCACCCTGGGAGGCGGCAGATAATGTCTCAAGTACATAGGTCTCAACCAACCACACGGGAGACCTGGATTGACTTCTAGGTTCCTGGCTTCAGCATGGCATTGCCCTGGCTATTATAGGCTTTCGGTGACCAAAACCAGCATATGCAAGCTCTCTCTCCATCTGCCTCTGTCTCTTAGGGTATGTATTAACAGGAAGCTGGAGTCAAGAGCCTGGGCCAGGTATAGAAACCAGGTACTCCATGGAGCTGGTGCTGTGTGTAGCAGGTTAATCTGCAGCCTGCAGTGCCAGCATCCCATATGGGTGCCGGTTTAAGTCCCAGCTGCTCTGCTTCCAATCCAGCTCCCTGCTAATACACCTAGGAAGGCAGCTGAGGATGGCCTGGGTCCTTGGACCCCTGCCATCCATGTGGGAAACAGTGGAGGCGCCTGGCTCATCCCCAGCCGTTGCGGCCATTTGGGGAGTAAACCAGTGGATGGTAGATCTCTCTTTCTGTATCTCTGCTTTTTAAATAAACCTGTAAAAAACAAAGAAAGAAAGAAAGAGAGAAAGAGAGAGAGAAAGAGAGAGAGAAAGAGAGAAAGAAAGAGATAGGAAGGAAGGAAGAAAGGAAGGAAGAAAGCAAGCAAGTAAGCAAGCAAGCAAGCAAGCGGAGGGAGGGAAGGAGGGAGAAAGAAAGAAAGAAACCAGGTACTCCAATAGGAGACTCGGGCATCTTAACTGGTAGGCCAAATGCTTTCTCCAATACTATTTTAGATTAAAATTACCTACAAAGTTAGTGACAGCCAAATACTGGTATGTAGCTCAGTCACAGTTTTGGGGCTCTCTCCTATTTTCAATCTCTGCCTTAATGTATGTGTCTCTCCCAAAAGGTTCTAGATTTTTCTTTTCAATTTGTATGTATCTATATCCCCCTCCACCATTTCCTACTTCTGCCAACCAATCCCCAAGAAGGTCTTCTTTAAGACGCCTCTTCTTTGCAGGGAAAGAAGGAGCTTTACCTGGGTCTGAGTCCGTCTCAGTAATCAGCTCCTGTGACTCTTCCGAGACACGTGTGTCCCCAGTAATGGGCTGATCCAAGTGGCCAGGCTCTTCGGGAACCTGCATAGTAAGGTCCCCTGTGCTCTCTTGCGGGAAGTCATCCTCAAGCGGCGGCTGCATCTCTACAGGGGAGAAGGCGGCACTGGGCGAGCACTGCTTGATGACACTGCCCATTCAGCTGATTCCACAGACCTGCCTCCCAGCCAGCACCCGGCACCAGGGCTCTCATCACCACCCTCCATGCACTGGCATCCCATGGAGAACAACCCGGCGGGGAAGGAAGAGTTTCCAATTGCCTGTAGCTCTTTTAAGGGACAAATAATCTACATACTAGATAACGCAGCCTTGATTCCAAAGTATTTCATAAATTAAAATACTTGTGGTGAGGACTACAACAACTTAGCTTCCTTTGGCAAACTGACAAACACTCACACAAATAACTGTGCAGAAGAGACTGCAGTCAAGAGCAGCTGTGTGCAACACCTGTCTTATGCAGAAAGAACACGAGCTCTTTCACACAAGCATGCCTGCTTCACAGAGCTGGCACAGGGAACGGCAAGCCACACAACGGCAGCCTGCTCAAGGGTCTTTCAAATATTTTCAAAGTAGCTCAAGGAGTCAAAAAGAGTGAGCCCATCTCCCTCTCTAAGAGACTCAGGCCATAGTAAAATGTGATCCACAGCAAAGATTAATTTCTTGATGGCCTCGTATCTTACCCTGATCATTCTTCATAATTTTGCATTCTTATCCACAATAGATCTACTTGAATTAATACAAAAGTGTCCTCCTCTCCAGTACTCAGAAAAAAATCAGGGAGCCGGTATTGTGGTACAGCAGGTTAAGCCACCACCAGTGATGCCAGAATCCCATATGAGTGCCGGTTCAAGTCTCAGCTGCTCTACTTTCAGTCCTGGCTGCTCTACTTCCTATCCAGCTCCCTGCTAATGCACCTAGGAGAACAGCAGAAGATGGCCCAAGTTCCTGGGCCCCTGTTATCCACGTGGGAGACCTGGATGGAGTTCCAGGCTCCTGGCTTTGGCTTGGCCTGGTCCCAGCCATTGTGGCCATTTGGGGAGTAAACCAGCAGATGGAAGATCTCTAACTCTCTCTGTCTCTCCCTTCTCTCTCTGTAACTCTGCCTTCCAAATAAATAAATAAATCTTAAGAAAAAGAAAAAAATCATCACTCTGAGGAAACACATTCTCTAGAGGCTTTGTGTCTCCCCTGGTACTCTACCATCCATCCTCAGAGCAAAATGCCTCAGTCTGAAACATATGGGTACAGATAATAGGACATGGAACTAGGAACCAAAAAGCTCCAGGATATTGACTTGGAGTTGATTCAGCAAACATCCAGGAATGGCTGCCACGTGTCAAATGCTGTTAGAAGGCTCCTCCCCCTGCTTCCAGCCTTGGTAAGCCTGAATGCAAGCACCTGGGGCCCAGAGGCAGTTAACTGGGATAAGTGACCGCTTCCAAGAGGCTACAGAGAAGTTGCTACAGAGAAGTTGCCATTCACAAAAGTTAAAAGTACGGCACTGGTTTAAAAGTCACACCAGGGGCTGGCGCTGTGGCATACCGGGTAAAGCCACCACCTGCAATGCCCACGTAGGAAACATGGAAGAAGCTCCTGGCTCCTGGCTTCAGCCTGCTCCAGCTCCAGCCGTTGCGGCCATTTGGGGAGTGAACCAGCAGATGGAAGATCTGTCTCTCTCTAACTCTGCCTTTCAAAATAAATAAAATAAATCTTAAAAAAAAAAAAAAAAAAAAAAAAAAAGTCATGCCAGTCAATCCCTCCTTAGAGGACAGCTATCTCACAATTAAGAAACTGAGTTCAGCCAGCGCCGCAGCTCACTAGGCTAGTCCTCCACCTGCGGCACCAGCATCCCGGGTTCTAGTCCCGGTTGGGGCACCAGATTCTGTTCCAGTTGCCCCTCTTCTAGTCCAGCTCTCTGCTGTGGTCCAGGAAGGCAGCAGAGGATGGCCCAAGTGCTTGGGCTCTGCACCTGCATGGGAGTCCAGGAGGAGGCACCTGGCTCCTGGCTTCGGATCGGTGCAGCATGGGGGCAGGGGGGACTGAGTTCAACAAAGCCCTTTCATAATGGTTCGTGAAATCTGGGCCCTGTTAACAGGCCTACTTGGTGCATCCTTGTTTGTATCTTCCCATTTAGGTTCTTAGAGGTTTCTGTTGAAAATGCTAACCAGTCTCAGCCATCCTAAAGGAAAGCAGAGTGAGAAATCCTTTTCCATGCTCCAACCCAAAGCAGAGAAGGCAGGAGGGCCAGGGGGCCCCTTGCGTGGGCCCTCTGCTTTGGGCACAGGGAAGCTGGGAACAGAGCTTTACAAATAACACAGGAGCACTGCAGGGAAACAGCACACGCACACACACACACACACACACACACACACGCACGCATGCACATGTGCATGCGCACGCGCACACACACCGGCCCCAGCCTGCTTCCCCCGCCCAACATGACCAGACCGTGGGCGGGAACTCTACCTTCCGCAGGTCCATGCCAGCCTTCCTCGAAAGGTAGTGCTGTTATCAGCGGGGCCGTCTTCTCGGCCACGGAGTGCTTGTACCTGACAAAATAGATCAGGTCTTGGATGTCATCCAGCACGGCTGCCTCTTCGAAAATGTTGTTTTCCTTCACTCCCAGGTCTCTATTTTCGGTCACCCGAGCATCGAGCATTTTCTCGGCTTCACTCAGAATCTGTGACTCGGAGGCGCGGAAGACCTTGTCCAGGACTTTCTCCACGTTATAGGGCAGGCTCTCCTGCTGGGCTGACTTCAGCTTCGATGACATTTCCTGGAGCATGGCTTCCAGCTCCCGGACATCAAAGTACTTCTGGAGGCGCTGCAAAGACTGCTGTTCTTTAAAGAAGCTGTTTATTATAGGCAGGTCCTCGGCGCGGCCACCGGGCCCTGGCTCTGCAGGAGTCCGTGGACCCCAGCGCAGCGGGTCGTCTTCGGGCTGCTCAGGGAGAGAGCCCTGGCCTTCCACGTCCAGGAATTTCCCTACGTCCTCGGGGTCCTCTTTTGAGAGGTCTTCTCCCCCACGATTCTCCATGAGCCCCGAGGGCTTCCAGTGCTCCTGGGGATGGTCTTTTTTCAGAAAATCAGCATCTTGATTCTGAAACACGTGGCCTAACTCGGGAGCCTGGGTCTCCCGGCCAGGAAGGTCATTGACTTCAGGGGGGCTCTGGGCTTGCTCATCTAGCAGGGGGCTTTCTTCTTTCACCAGCCCTATTCTGCCTGGTTCCATGCCCGTCCTGTCTACTCCTGTGGCTGCAGGTTCACCTTTTCTTTCAGTCTCCAAAACTGTATGAGTTTCTTGCTTGTTTGCTTTAGTTTGGGGATCAGGCTGAGCAGTCCCTAAAACTGCTCCTCCAAGCACCTGCAGATTGACATCTAACCTCCCGTCTGGAACCCCAGAGCCTTTTTCTTTAGACTGCTCTGCACTCAGAGCGTTTTCATCTTCCAGGAGTTCTTCGAACCAGTAGTCATCTTCCTCGGTGTCCGGCTTTGCAGTCTGGAAAGCTGGTGCTTGTGCACTACCAGTGGGGTCTGTTTTTCCCACCCCCTGGGGGCCCTGCATTGCCTTGTGATGAGCCACCTCTGTTTCTACAGGGTCCTCTTTGCCCTCATCCCCAGAGAGCCTCGTCTTCTCGTTCGCCTGCTTGATAACTGTGGCAGCCACGTCTCTGTCTTGCTGCCAGGAAAAATTTCTTCCCAGAGGGGGAACCTCTTCTCCCAGTTCCCCTGGCAAAGCCACTCCATCTGGAGAGGAGAAGCTGGGTTGATCCTGAGTCTTCACCACTGCTTCCTCTTTAGATTCCTCCTGCTGATGCTCCACTGATGGTGAGTGTAGCCTGGATTTATTTACCAAAACCTCTCCTTCCTCCACACTCTCCATGGACGTATTACGCTGAGGATCACCCAAGAGTGGTGCCACGGCTACGGATTCCTGTTTGTTTGTTTCTTCGTCCATTTGGCTCCCCAGAGCTGTGGGTGCAGATTCCTTGTCTGAGCCACCTGCCAAACTCTCCCCAGGTCTTTCTTGGTGAGGTGTGTCTTTTGAAATGAGAATGGCTTCTTCTTTTAGGTCACTCTCTTCGTTACCGAAAGCTGATTTTAGTGTGTCTTTACCCTTCTCAGCGGCTGGCAAAGCGCTGTGCTTGCTGCTCTGGGCAGGGCTACCCACAGCCACCCCTTCCTGCTTCTCCTGCTTCTCCCGCTCTGATTCTGCCTCAGCTTGCTCCAGGGCTAATGTGGATTCCTGAACTTCCTTCCCTTTGTCTTTAATGTGAAGCTCAGTGTGCGTTTCTGGGTCCTTTTCATCATTTGTTTTAGGCACTTCTGTCCTCAAAGGGCCGTCTTCTGCATTTACAGGGTCAACAGACTCTGTTGCTGATTGTGGTTTCTCCTGTTTGCTCTTTGGGCCTAGGGTGCCAACATCATCCTCCTTTTCTTCCTCTGAATTAGAACCCTCTAAATCCGCTGGACCTGGCTTTTCCTCACCTCCTGTGACGATAGAGAAGAGGGTATCCCCCCAGTCCGTGAGTATACTCTTATCATCAGCTCTGATGCCAGGGGGCAGAGTGGCCTCAACCTTGTGCTCTGTGTTTGAATACTGTTCTTCACCTGTTGAATACTTCTCAACTCCGGGCTTCCCTGGATCTTTCTCATCTTCTCCACTTGTGAAGGTTAGCAGTGGGAGTGCATCAAAATTGTCGCTATCGTCCTCCTCTTCCTTCTCGACTGTGTAGTAGTCGTCATCCAGCTCCTCATCGAAACCATCTTCTAATGAGGTAACAAGCCGGGTCGTCTCGTCGTCAGAAACCAGGGCATCAGCAGTGGAGCCAAATTTGGTTTTCAAGTCCAGAGTCATTTCTTTCTTCAAGAGTTTGTATGCATCCATTGTCTCCTGTCCGCTGGAGCCCTGAGAACTATTGCTGGTTTTGTTGTTCTCACTTTGATCTTGCAGCATTTCCTCAAAGGGTTCAAGTGAAGACGGCTCCCCCTGAGCAGCACGCGCCTGACCGGCTGCAGGGACGGCTGCAGGGACGGCTGCAGGGACGGGGTTCTTCTGAGGCAGAAACGGGTCCTCGAGATCCTTAGAGCTTTCTGAGAACACACTTTCATTTGCGTCTGCATTGGCTTCTATGGGTTCCCTTTCCTTAGATACTTCAGGAACTTTTTCCACGTGCTGGGACGTTTTATCCATGGTGTTCTCAGAATCTCCAGCTGCAGAATCATAGAAGTCTAAAAATCCTAGAAGTTCTTCTATATTATAATTATCAAAATCATCTCTTCCCCCATCAAAACAAACAAAATCTGTGTCCTGTAAAAGAAAGACAAGGAGGTGTCAATAACCAAGTGTCACAAAAGCAAACTCTGACTTATGCTAGTGACAGAGATGGTCCCAAATTCACGACTGGTCCGACTTTGGACAATGGGCTATGGGCTCCAGGAGCGTGGGAAGCTGGAACCCCACTCCCCCCAGTAACACTCTTAGCTTCCCTTCATCCTCCTCTTCAGGAGACGAATGACTCAGGTGACTGGTGGGTTTGCTCTCTGTTTTCTGTTTGAGATCTGCTGGAGGGAACACAAACATTCCGTTCCTCCACGCTGTTAGTGTTATGGAGACAGTCCCCCTTAGAGAGGCCCCTGCTGGGTAGCTCTGGCTATACTTGGCTATGTCTGACTTTTCTAGACTGTAGTATTAGAAGAAGGCCCGTTATTGCTGCACTCTTGAGTCACAGTCTCCAAAATCTCTATCGACAAGTCATGAGTGACATTTTGGCCTCCATCTGCCCAGCTCCTGGGTCTCCTGATTTGTTGTGAGCAGACCGAAGAAAAGTGAGGTGCCCTTTATTGGGCTCTCCAAACCCCAGAATCTATGCCTGATGTTCTGGAACTCTAGTGCACAACTGTCTGTCCAGGAGAAGCTGAGGAGCCTCTGGTTTCTCTACTGTTGTGTCCTGCACACCATGCTTCTACACTTCTCAGTGCGCCCAGCAGACACACACGGAATCACCACATTATCAGGCTCGGTCTAAGTCTGCATGGATTTCTAGCTTGTATTTTCCTTGGATTGCAAAAAATAAACCAATCTAAGAACTACCTTAGCGAGAAACAGGTACACAAGAAGTAAAAATGTAAAGGGGACAAAGAATGACCTCAAAGCGGGGTTCCCCACTTCACTATTACCAGAAAAGCAACTCAAAAAGGTATGTATCGGCAGGATATACACTCGAAATCAGGGATCCAGGCCATCACTCAGATCTTCTCCCGGGACTCTCTATAAATCTAGATTCTCTCACCCCCCTCCCTACCATCGCCACTAGTAAGCAAATTGGCATGCAAGGAGCCATAAACTGGGCAAAAATTAAAAAAAAAAAAAAAGTAATTTCTTCTCCTAACTAAACCTTGCATTCTGCAGAGATCCGTCCACTGCAGGAGGGATGCACGGTTTCTCTTTCCACCACATGCATTTTGGGGCCATTTTCTTAAACTGAAGAGAAGCATGCAGTGGGAAGTACAATGAGAAGGCAGAATCCCAAACAGGTGAGGTCTCACACTCACATCCCAGGCAACCTCTCCATCAACAGCAAAGCTCAACAGGCAATGGGGCTAATTTTGTGGCTCCTGAGGGTGTCAAGGAATTCAGAGAACAGCAATAGCAAAGAACCACCCTAACCCAGCCACTGGCATGCTCTGCCAGGTTTTTAAATGCTCTGCTCACAGGTTTTTTTTATTGTATATGTATATTTTGTTATTCTGGACCAGGCAGAGTGGATAGTGAGAGAGAGAGACAGAGAGAAAGGTCTTCCTTTTTGCCGTTGGTTCACCCTCCAATGGCCACCACGGCTGGCGCGCTGTGGCTGGCGCTGATCTGAAGGCAGGAGCCAGGTGCTTCTCCTGGTCTCCCATGGGGTGCAGGGCCCAAGCACTTGGGTCATCCTCTACTGCCTTCCTGGGCCACAGCAGAGAGCTGGCCTGGAAGAGGGGCAACCGGGACAGAATCCGGCGCCCCGACCGGGACTAGAACCCAGTGTGCCTGCGCCGCTAGGCGGAGGATTAGTCTAGTGAGCCGCGGTGCTGGCCATGCTCACAGGTTTTTAAATGAAAGTGGACATCAATGATTCCAGAAAATAGTCAGCTGCAATGAGGATTCCAGAACACAGTCTCCTTAGTCACAAAACCATTTTAAGTTAGCACAGCACAGATGAAAGCAGACACGCTTTACAGAATGTGCAATCAGTGTCTCATAGATTCGAGACTGGACCTCACTTGATTCCTTCTTCCAAATCACAACATAGCCACAATCCCTTAAATCACTAGAGTCAATGATAAGAAAATCCTCAGGGCTGGTGCTGCGGTGTAGTGGGTAAGCCATTGCCTGCAGCACAACATCCCCCATGGGTGCTGTTCAGGTCCCAGCTGCTCCACCTCTGACCCAGGCTCCCTGATTTTGATGTGACTGGGAAAAGCAGTGGAGGACAGCCCAAGTACTTGGGTCCCTGCAGCCATGTGTGAGACCCAGATGCAACTCCAGGCTCCTGGTTTCAGCCTCGCCCTGGCCTGGCCACTACAGCCACTGGGGACTGAACCAGTAGATAGAAGTTATCTCTCTCTCTGCCTTTCCCTCTCTCTGTAACTCTGCTTTTCAAATAAATAAATCAATCAAAAAAAAAAAAAAAAAGGAAGGAAGGAAGGAAGGAAGGAAGGAAGGGAGGGAGGGAGGGATCCATCCATCCATCCTCATAAGTTTGTACCCAGGATACAATCTAGAGTTTGATTAACCTGATTTCTATAGTTTTCATATGTCTAGTAGCTATTCAGTGAATAGTTTTCAAACTGAGCATTCTCTTTTTGCTTGTAAAGTGAAATAATTTCTTTCTTTAATAACTATGTACAGGGGTTGGCACTTTGGCCCCTGTTAAGCCACTGCCTATGATGCTGGCATCCGATATGGGCATTAGTTTGAGTCCCGGATGCTACACTTCTAATGCAGCTGCTTGCTAATGCACTTGGGAAAGCAGTGGAAGATGGTTCAATTCCTTGGGCCCTGCCACCTATGTGGGAGATCCAGAAGAAGCTCCTACTAGCTCAGGCCTGGCCACTGCAGCCATTTGGGGAGCGAATCAGTAAATGGAATATCCATCTCTCTCTCTGCCTTTCAAATAAATATATATTAAAAAAAACAGATATTGATTTCCTATTTTTCACATACATATAGACAGAAAATCCTATATATGAGTATACAGCTTTGTATAGGATATCTGCTTTGATATATCAGCAAGTGTCAAATTACAACATAATCTCCTTAAAATTCTTTTTCTCCCAATTTTCACTTATTTATTCAATAAGCAGAGAGAAAGAAAAACAGAAAGAGTTCCCATCCACTGGGTCACTCCCCAAGTGTTCACAATGTCCCCCAGCGAGGGCCAAAGCCAGAAGCAGGATTTCAATCCAGATCACCCATGTGGATGTCAGGAACCAATCTTCTAAGACCTCACCTGCCGCCTCCTGGAGTGCGCATTAGCAGGAAGCTGGAGCAGGGTATAAAACCCAGTTCCAATATGGAACTCAGGAATCTTAACTGTGTCTTACCTGCTAGACCAAACACCCAACCTCTCCCTTAAATTCTTTTCCAGCTTTTCTTTCCTTTCTTAGAGATAGTCTGATTCCAAATTAAAATCTGATATACAAATATTAAGATTGCTTTATCTCTCTGATTAGAATACCTTCAAATTTTCAAAAAAACTTAACTAAATGCAACTGATAAATTCATAAGCCAATTTGCAACTGAGACCAAAAAAAGAAATCCAAACTCACATCTGCTGGAATTCGGAGCTCTTCTTTGGTGTACTCATGGACTACCTTGATCAAATCCTTTGGAAAATATCCAAAAATACGCCCAACCTATAAGAAAGAATTGTTAAAAGGGACAAACATTAATCACATTCTGTATAAGAAATATAAAAAGAGTTGATACTTTTTAGAAGTGACAGGAAGTCTACAGATAGATATAGGGAGGTAGATATAACCAAGGTAGATAGATAATTGCTATTATAATTAAACTGATTATTATTCCAATAGAATGAGTTTCTAAACCATTGAAGTCTTTTTTTTATATCTAGCTTAATTCCTAACATAGGTATATGAAGTTAGATTTTAGAAGCAGATAAAATACCTGCATACAAGATCATAAATATATATAATTAAAACTATGCAAATCAAAGCTGGTTTGAAGCTTTTCAAAGAATTTACCTGCACATTTCATAGTACTGTTCATAAACCAATACTTAACAAGCCTTTCTTAAACCAATACACAGCCACGGAAATTAGTAAGTAAAAATAATATAAAGTTTCTGAAATGTTTGACCACTACAACAAAGATATGTATTTATTGATATCATGTGTTACACTTTTTCAAAAACTACATTTACAGGTACTTAGTGGGGGAAAAAAAGTAATACATACGAATGGCCACACCAAACTTCAGTTTCCCACAAACTACATCCTCTACAGAAAGTGATTCACGCCTTCTCAGCACCAGTGTTTACCACGTGCATACCTTCAGCTAAAATACAGCACGGGTGTCCTCTTGAGAAACACACACTTTTACCAGCTACTGTGCGGGAGACAGCAGTCAATGTCTGACCCAATCATTAAAGGGGATTGAGACGGAAACCAAATACACAAAAAGAAAGAAAAAGGCCATCTTATCACTGACTGAAACGTTCTCACTCCCGAGTAGTCCTGTTCTACTTGGAACTCTCCAAAGACAGTGCTGGCAGAAGGACACTGCCATTAAGATTAGATAAGACGGGGCAATTAACCTGGCAGATAAAGTCTGTAACTCTACCAAGTTTAAAACAAAGACACAGACAAACCAAAACCAAAACCAAAAATCTACAGGATGAAAACGAAGGATCAGGTACAAGAATCATTTTAAAAGCTAGGGAGAGAGAGTTTTTTAATTTCCTAAGTGTAGGGGCCCAGCGCTGTGGTGTGACAGGGTAAGCTGCTACCTGTGATGCCAGCATCCCATATGGGCACCGGTTGGAGTTCCGACTGCTCCATTTTTGATCCAGCTCCCTGCTAATGCACCTGGGAAAGCAGCGAGGGATGGTCCAAGTGCTTGGGTCCCTGTGAGACCTGGAAAAAGCTCCCATTCCTGGCTTTGGCTTGGCCCAGCCCTGGCTGCTGTGGACATTTGGGAAGTGAACCGGCAGATGGAAGCCCGCGGTGTATGTGTGTGTCCCTCCTCTCTGTTTAACTCTGCCTTTGAAATAAATATATCTTTAAAAACATTTCCTAAGTGTAAGATTCATGAGACATGAAGGGAGATACACAAGAAACAAGACAGGAAATATGAGAAAAAGCACTTTTTACTTCTGAAGAAAAAAAATTTTAAGACTTCATTTATGTATTTGAAAGGCACAGTGACAGAGAGAGAAAGAGAGAGAGAAAAAACGCATGCTTCCATCTACTGGTTCACTCCCCAAGTGGCACAATGGCCAGGGTTGGACCAGGCCAAGGGAGTCAGGCTCTCTATTGTGGTCTCCCTCATGGGTGACATGGGCCATCATCTATTGCCTTCCCAGGCACATTAGCAGGATGCTACATCAGAAGCAGAGCAGAGTAACCTGTGGTGCCACAATGCTGACCCCCTGAGGACAAATGTAATTGGGGAACACTTGGAAAAGGGAAAGAAATCAGAGATACCTGGATAAAGGAAATACATTTATCTATGCTTAATCTCTGTCAGTTGAGACACAGATCATATAAAACTCTGTATTTGGAGCTGGTATCACGGTACAGTGGATTAAGCGGCCACCTCTGATGCCAGTATCCCATACAGGCATACATTGGAGTCCCGGCTGCTCCACTTCATATCAGCTCCCTGCCAATGAGCCTGGGGAAACAGTGGAGAATGACCCAAGTCCTTGGGCCCCTGACACCCACATGGGAGACCCAGACAGCATTCTAGGCTCCTGGCATTGGTCTGGCCCAATCAGGGTCTTTTGGAGAGTGAATCAGTGGATGAAAGAACTTGCTATCAGTCTCTGTTACTCTGCCTTTCAAATATATTTTTTTTAATCTTCTGTATTTATACACTGGGTAGGAGCTCATTTCCTATAATCTGACAAAAAAAATTCAGAATCATAGGCTCTCATGACTGCAAGTGATCTTTAGGCCTAATTTGGCTTCCACACATCATTCCTTCAAAGATACTGGAAAAAAAAAATAGTAGAGTACTGTCTCAAGAGAACCAATTCTATGTGTCACTGCCCCATAAGGCAGTCTGCAGAAGGCAGGCAGATAAGACCTGGGCCCTTCCATCACAGAGGTGTGACTGCGCAGAGAGCTAAGACCATACACACACTAAGCGCTGTGCAGAGCACTGCAGACCAGACAGCAGCCAGCAGATCTGAGAACAAGGATCTCTTCCGCCTGGGTGCTGGAGGCAGCACTCCACAAGAAGGGAGGATAAGGGCTGTGACCCAGAAGGAGGCACAGCCTGTGACCCAGGATTTCGAGAGGTGAGTATGGGCAAGAACAAAAAGGCGGCAGGAAGAAAATGCAAGTCAAGTTCATGGATCCCAACACTTGGCAAGGAGGCAAAGGGGAGAGAGAACAGCACGGTTCTAAGATGAATGCAGCCGAGGCACCTGGGAAAACACTGCCAGGCCTAAAGATGACCAAGAAGTTCCACTTGGTAGACTCGAAGAACAACAGATTCTTCTTTGCGTGGAGTAATTCGATCGGGATTCTGTGTAAATATCAGGGCACGATCTTCTCACAGATCTAGACACCACCACCAGGGTTAATCTATTTTTCCTATGGGGAATCTCGACAACCTTCTTTTCTGTTACACCTTCGATGTTTTACTGAGGATGAACACTTTCACAACTGGGACTGGGAATGTATCCAAACTGGGACAATCCTAAAATCATCAAGGACCCTCACTACTCAGTTAAGTAAGTAGAGTCCACATGTCCTTCTTTTCTTTTTTTTTTTTTAAGGATTTATTTATTTATTTGAAAAGTAGAGTTACAGAGAGGCAGGGGCAGAGAGAAAGAGAGAGGTCTTCCAACAATTGGGTCACTCCCCAGATGGCTGCAATGGCTGGAGCTGGGCCGATCTGAAGCCAGGAACCAGGAGTTTCCTCCAGGTCTCCACATGAGTGTAGAGGCCCAAGGACTTGGGCCATCTTCTACTGCTTTCCCAGGCCATAGCAGAGAGCTAGATCGGAAGTGGAGCAGCTGGGACTTGAACTGACGTCCATATGGGATGCCGGTACTGCAGGTGGCAGCTTTACCCCCAGTGCCAGCCTCCACATGTCCTTTCTACAAAGCAAAGGACAATAACTCAACTGTCTCTCAATCAGTTCACTTCCAGTGAACCTCTGCATTGAAAACATGGAAGCCTTAAGCAGTCACTTGTCGCTCCCCATCTTCGTGGAGGAACGACACAGGACCCTGTGCTGTTCTTTTGTCTGCTCGGCCCTCCCTGGGTTTGCTGCTGGTTCTTCCCGGGTTGGCTACCGTCCCTTCCACCTCCGTGGAAGGGCGGTTCCCCCTAGCCACTTTCCCCACTTCCGCGGGGGAGCGGCATACCGCCGGCCGGCTCTCTCGGGGGCTGCACAGGTGTTCCTTCAGATAGATGTTCCCTCTAGATGTTCCTGGTGCATGTTGTCTCTCTCCTCCTTTATAGTCCTCTTCCACCAATCCCAACTCTGCTACCCACACGCCGAATACGCTGCTCTCCTCCAATCAGGAGCAGGTCCTACAGTTTATTGGTTGAACTGGAGGCAGCTGTGTAGAAGCTGTTTCTCCCTTCTCAGCGCCATATTGTGGGAGAGCAGATGCATAGAATAAGTCTTAATTCCAGTAACTTAGTCTAGTCCGGGTTGCTCCCAGTTGCTCCCCACAGTCACTGACTGCCACATCTGGTATCGGGACACTCAGAAAACTGGCTGGGAAGAGGGTCCCTTGGGGTACAACTGTATCGAAAGCAGGAAAAGGATGACCTCGAAGTTGCAAACAAACAAAAATAAAAAAACAACCAGGAAATCACACAGTGAACACAACCTTTTGCTTTAACAGACTAATAATGACACAGATGACTGGGTAACTTTTCCCAGGGCTGCCACTTTTTCCACAAATATAAATACTATGGAAAAGAAGAAAAACAGAGTCAACTTGAAAGGTGCATGCCTAGGCACCAGCACTGTGGCACAGCTGAGCCACCACTTGTGATCCAGCATCCCTTACCAGAGCACTAGCCCAAGTCCCAGCTGCTCCGCTTCCAATCCAGCTCCCTGCTAAATGTGCCTAGGAAGGCAAGGGAAGATGGCGCAAGCACTCGGGTCCCTGCTACCCATGTGGGAGACATGGATGGAGCTCCTGGCTCCTGGCTTCAGCCTGGACCAGCACTAGCAGTTGAAGCCATTTGGGGAGTGAACCAGGGGATGGACAATCTCTCCCTGTCTCACCGTCTCTCTCTCTCTCAGTCACTCTGCCTTTCAAATACATCTTTAAAGAAAAAAGAGAAACGTGCATGCCTGAAACACTACTTCACTTGTAGTTTACAGGATTAAATCTAATGTGTGTGAGTTCTCCCTCTGGGAAGCAGTGAAAGTAAGAATGCTCAGGGTTTTTTTTTTTTTAAAGATTTATTTTATAGGGCCGGCGCCGCAGCTCACTAGGCTAATCCTCTGCCTTGCGGCGCCAGCACACCGGGTTCTAGTCCCGGTCAGGGCACCGGATTCTGTCCCGGTTGCCCCTCTTCCAGGCCAGCTCTCTGCTGTGGCCAGGGAGTGCAGTGGAGGATGGTCCAAGTGCTTGGGCCCTGCACCCCATGAGAGACCAGGATAAGCACCTGGCTCCTGCCATCGGATCAGCGTGGTGCGCTGGCCGCAGTGCGCCGGCCGCGGCGGCCATTGGAGGGTGAACCAACGGCAAAGGAAGACCTTTCTCTCTGTCTCTCTCTCACTGTCCACTCTGCCTGTCAAAAAAAAAAAAAAAAAAAAAAGATTTATTTTATTTATTTGAAAGACAGTTACAGAGAGAGGTAGAGCAAGAGAGAGCGAGAGCAAGAGAGAGAAAGGTCTTCTACTCCATTGGTTTACTCCCCAAATGACCACAACAGCCAGAGCTGAGCTGATCTGAAGCCAGGAGCTTCTTCTGGGTCTCCCAGGTGGGTGCAGGGGCCCAAGGACTTGGGCCATCTTCTACTGCTTTCCCAACCATAGTAGAGAGCTGGATCAGAAGAGGAGCAGCCAGGACTTGAACCAGCGTCCATATGATGCTGGCACTGCAGGCTGGGGCTTTAACCCACTGCGCTGGCCCCAAATGTTCAGGTTTTCATCAGGCCAACCTTTCATATGTACTGAGCATCCTGGAACTTAATGCCAATGGGCAATAGTGAAAATCAGTTCAATTGTGTTTCAGAAAACTTCCGTGCCACATTGTTCTCCGAGGCCTGGCTAGAGACTCGGGCTCATCTTTTTTCACGGTCTGGTGGGGGACAAGTTAACTCCATCCAAGACACCAAGGAAACAGTCAGTGAAATCTACACTTCTAAGCAGCACAACAAAAAGCAAGAAAATAAAGTATATCGAATGTTTACTTACAGTTCCAGCCCAAACTTCGGGTGATCCCCCCGCCAGCTTATAGTACACATATACAGGGTCACCTTTTTTAAAATTCACAAAACGGCAGTCTGGGCCTGTGAAATCGTCGAGGGCCTCACCCCGGTACATTAACACTGTATATAAAGACAGGAAAAAATAACCAGGTATCAGATCCAACTTTCACAACCCACACTGATGTATCAGGAAACATAAGGATCCCACTGTAAACAATCGTGTTGTCCCAGTACTCTCTTGGAATCCTTTTCCATCCACTGCTTATGGTATCTAAAATCCTTAGCACTTTATTGCTCTAAGTCATGACATCGTTTGTAATGAGACAGGGGAGAGGGAACTTTCCTTGTTTTTCTCTCTAGAGAACACTGAGAAACAAGAAGCACTGTGGCCACGCCACACATTCCTGGTCTCCAGTCAAACCCCTGGTTCCCTCTCTAATCCAGTCTCCAATCTTTGCTGTTTCATACTCATATAAAGCTCTGCTTTGCAAATGGGTAAATTCAAGTGCAGACTGCTAACTGGCTTAGGCCTGGCTACATGGAGAGGTAATAGGGAACCAGGAAGAGAAGCACACCCAGGAATACCCAAGGGGTCCATTAACTTGAACTAATCGCTAAAAGGCACTACTTTTAAGTGGCTGCAATTGCTACCAGGCAACAAGAAACACCATCAACTTCATTTGTAGCCAAGTTGTTCTCTCTGTACAATATGGGAATAAAGAAATGGGAAAGGGTATCAAACCCTATTATGAACGGATCCAGCCGTATCACAAGGCAGTATGTTCTGAAACTAAGTAACGTTGACTGTATCCAACATTAAGGACATTTCCAAAGGAAAAATACTCTTATTTATATTTTCCTATAAACAAAATCAAAAGTGGACATCCCATTTGGCAGGGACCAAGCAAAACTATGAGAATAGGTCAGTAGTTACCTTCATGCTTAAAATGCAGGACTTAAATCACACTCGATCTAGAAACTGGTAGAAGCAGTATTTTTCTTTTTGTTGACCAAATACACAGTTTCTGATATGAGATGAAATGGACAATAAATGCATTTAAATAGCAGAAACAAGGATGAAATGGAAAAAAAAAAACAACACTTTTTCTAAAAGTCAATTAGCAATAAAATACATAAAAGTCTATGTTTTAAAAATAGGTATTCCAGGGGCAAACAGACAGATTCAGAAGGGACTGTTTTCAGACACATTAGCATCTTTGTTTGGATATAACTGGGTGCCAGGCCAGGTTGAAGGTGACAGGAACTGTAAGACTTGGGGACTCTATGGGAATTGGAAATTCAGTGTTTCTGTTGTTCCCCCTCAGATGGACGAGGATTTGTAGGAACACACCAGAGGACAACATAATGCACTTGGTGGGACACCTGTGTCCAGCACATGGGGACACCTGACATAGCACTTTGTGCAGCACCACACAGTCTCAGGCAATGCCCCTGCCGTGGCCTGTTGAGTTTGGTTACATCTGTTTGGACACCTGCAGCCTTTCTCAAATTACCCACAAAGGCTAGCTCCTCCAACAGACCTCTCAGCACCAAGGAAGCATGAGATGTGACTCCTGGGGTAATTTGTTTTGAGAAACCCAGCAGAACAGTGCTTGAAAGCAAAACCAGCAAACATTTCACCACATCCAACAGCAAACAGACATTTGGGTTTGCTCCAAGAAAGAAAACTGAAGGCAAAAAAGCATGGCAGTGCTCCTTTACATGAGCTGGAGGGCTGCTTCTAGGAATGCCTTAACATAGATTACAGATCACCTCCTTTCTTCTCTTCAAATACTGTAGTGACACAAACCCTTCAAATTATGCAATCTTAGAGCACGAATCTGAATGTATAAATAGTTAAACTGTAGGCTTCTTGGCCCTTTTGGAATGAATAATTTCTGCAGGATTGCTCCTAATTTATGAACCACCATTTCTGCAGCGACTGTCTGTAAGTTATAAGGTTAAGAAGGATCCTGGACCCGGCAAACAGAGAAGGCTCCGACAACACAACTAAGGCGAACGCTGGTTGGGCTTATAAGGCCCTTGAAGCATTTCTTACGATTATTATTGTAACGACCTTCCATATCTGAGTCTGAAGACTGCTCTCCTCATCGCCCATCCCCAGTCTGGGACTGGGGAGCAATTCCACTTCCTGCGCCTCTCCCAGGTGGCCGGTGCAGATCCTCGGCCTCTTTCGAGAGCCAAGGATTTTGGCCTTCCTGCTGCCCAGCCTGGCAGTTTGCAAGGACGACCCCACGCACAGAAATGACAGGGCTGAGGCAGAGCCTGGGTGCAGACCTCGGAAAACCCTGTGTGCCTTGCACTCCGGGCTCGTCCCAAACCTAAAATCCAAGCCCTGCCCAAAAGGCAGTTAGAGCCCAAATCCCAGGAAAGCAGAAGGTCGCCCGTCCCGAGGAGCCCCACGTCTTCCTGCCACCGGGAACACGCGCACAGAGACCCTGGCGCATCTACCCGGTTTCTGCACCACTGAGGTCCCCGTGGCGGGGGCGGGAAGCGCTCGGCTGCAGCGTGGGGAGCCCCGGACTCGCGGCGCGCAAGCCCCTCAACCTAGAGCCACCGATCGGGGGAAGGGGGACACCGCGCGCTGTCACTGCGGGAACCAGGGGCCACCCCGACCCCACGCCGCGGCCAGCAGAGGGAAAACAAAACGCTGGCAACAAGTGGGAGGTGCAGCCCCTCGCGACCACGCCGGCTGGGCACAGAGTCGGGGGACGCAACGCAGGCTCCCAGGGCTCGCCCACTCCCGCGCTCTGCCTGCCCGCGGGGCTGCAGAGCCCCGACCCGCACAGCCCGGGCGGCGTCCCCGCCGCCGCCGCCGCCGCGGAGACCCCGGGCCGGCCGCCCGCCCCGCACTCACTGCTGCATTCGTCGTCCGCGCAGAGTTTGTGCTCCGAGAAGCGCCGGCCGGTGCTCGGGTCTGGCTGGCCCGACCCCCGCCAGGGCGGCCCGAGCACGAGCAGCCAGAAGAGCAGCCCCGGCGCCGCAGCCATGTTGTGGTCACCCCGGGGAGTCTGTGACGCGGAGGCGGCGGCGGCCGGGCGGGCGCGGCGGGCGGCGCCGTGGGCGGGGCGCGGGAGCCGGGTGGGAGGTGCGGCGCCGAGGGCGGCGCCGGGAGGGTCCGAGCGGTTCCCGACCGACACGTCAGCAGGGGCTCCGAGAGGGGACGCGGGGCTCGGAGCCGAGGGGACCGGCGGCGCCTCCTCCGCCGGAGGCCTTCTCCGGCCGCTGCCTTGGCAACTGGGACTCTGAGTCTGTGCCCTCACCCAATCGCCGGGCTCTGCCGGGTCCGCTCGCAGCCGACCCTCCGCGCGCCCGCCTCGGCGCCAGCGCCCCCTGCGCACTTGGGTACCCCGGGCCTGCGCAGTCCCGGCGGCTCCTTCTCGGGGCCTGTCGCGGCCTTGGGGTCTCTTACACCCCGAACCGGCCCGCTCCACCGCCCACAGCCCTTGCTTCTTGCTTTGGTGCCTCCCTTTTCAGAACTAGCGAATCCCCACCCACGGTTGGTCTTCAGTTCGAGGCTCCCTCCCCTTCAGACTCACAGGGGTTCCCTGGGACCCCCACCCCGTGAGCCGCTTTGACGGAGAAAGCGGGAGAGCGGGAAGTGGGTTGGGGGTGTGCATCAGAGCCAGGGCCTGTTGGGTCTGTAAGGGGGAAGAGCAGATAGAGGTGGGCGATGACCCTTCCCAGATGTTGAGATTCCCACGTGTTTGTCCATAAGGGAGAAAGTCATGCAATTCAACATAAGTGTGTTGAGCTCCTATTTTATGCTACCTTTCGTACTAGACCCAGGATGAAGCTCTAGGGTGGGCCGGTGCCAGACAAGCAAGATAGCTGGCCTTTGGCTAGAGAAGCAGCGGGTTAGTGGAAGCCAGTTGGCCTAAAAGCAATTGAAGAGTAAGTATCAGAGAGGAGAAAGCCAGGTTCATTGCAGCTAACAATTACTGGGTGCTTGCTCTCTGCCCAGTTATTAGTCTAAGGGCTTTCTATGTGTCCATTCGCTTACTTTGCACACAATAGCACTTCTTAGCAGCAGATCCTCTGATGATACCCATTGTAGAGATGTGGCCATTGAGTCATTCCCACGCCTAGTGAGGGGTGGAGCCAAAACAAACAAACAAACAAAAAAAAAACAGGTACCACTCTCCCTGTTAATTACAAGTCTATAAAGCCTCCATCAAGTGACAAGCAATTTTTGTATTTCCTTTCTGACTAGTGGAGCAAAATCTTCCCAAAATCATTACATAACTAATGTCTATATGTTCAAAATTAAAGGTGGGGGGTGGACACAAGCAGGTGAGTCCAAGGAAGAGTGGCTACAGTGCTGGCTGGAGCACTATGCCTTTGTGTCCAGGGGCTTTTCACTGTAGTGAGCCACAGACCCAGTGGTTGGTTTCCCAGACTAACTGGGTTCTGGAGAAATGAAAAGGAAGAATGTGCCCCATCCATGGAATCCATAGATTGAATAGGGGGAAAGATGCTAAAGAGGCACTCACTGTTTTTTTAAGTCTACGGGGCCCAAGAGCAGTCCCCTGAGTCCAGCAGGCTGTGGCTGCCTGGCAAGGTCGGGCACAAGCACTCTCCAAGCAGTCACAGTGCCTGTCATTCTCTATCTCTCTGCTACTGTGTAGTTATTTGCCTTAGGATCCGAAGTGTGTCCAGTAGGATATAAAGCCTAAGTCTTTCTGCTCTCAAACCTTGCCCCTTTCAGTCTTTCCTATCTCAGATAGAAATTGGAATGGAAATTTAATTCCCATCTCCCAAGTGCTCACGGCAAACACTTAGAAACCAACCTTGACCTCTTTTCTGTCACACCCCAAATCTCAGAGAACCTTGTTTTATTTAATTCAGGTTATTGAGGTATGGTTAGCCCATAATAGGCAAGACTGATATATCTGAAAGAAACAGGAGCTAGCAATGCCAGCATCCCATAATGGGCACGTGTTCTGTCTCTGCTAATCTGCCTGGGAAAGCAGTGGAAGATGGCCCAAGTCCTTGGGTTCCTGCACCCACATGGGAGACCCGGCTTCCGGCTCATGGCTTCAAATTGGCCCACCTCTAGCTGCTGCGGTCATTTGGGGAGTGAATCAGCAGGTGGAAGACTTCTCTCTCTGCCTCTGCCTTTCTGTAACTCTGCCTTTCAAATAAATAAATAAATAAATCTTAAAAAAAGAGAAAGTTTGGGGAAGCCAATGCAGCTAGACTTTGTAGGGCTGAGTACAGGAGAAAAGAGAGCTGCAGGGGAGGGGGAGAACCCTTCAGAGATCTACTGAGGGTAAAGGCATGTGATGTGAGGAACTGCCTGAAGCCAGGAAAAGAAGCACTGGTGCAGAACTTGGAGCGGGTGGGGGCGATTTTTGGAGTGAACTGATTGTGTTTGTGATACCACCAGCCAAGGTGGGCAAATATGGAAGGAACAGAGTATCCAGTAGACTGTTCAGTAAAGGGGAAAAATTAGTTCAGGATTAAATGTTACTCTGGTCCTGCCTAACAAAGCTTAAAAGCAAGTCTTGAAAAGATCAAAATGTTTCCAAGTAAATTAACTGCATTGCAGAGCAAAGCCCAAAAATATTTAAAAGAACATAAACTATCCAGCATCCAGCAAGGTAAATTTATGATGTCTGGAATCCAATAAAAGCTTAGGAGGTATGCAAAGAAGTAGGAAAATACATAATGAATTTATAAATCATAATGAACATAACAATAATGAATTTTAAAATACTTAACGAAAATTAAAAATCAATCAACAGAAATTGTACCAGAAGTGAAACTTGTGGTAGAATTCTTACACAAGGATGATAGACTCCTATGGTTATCATCCATATGTTCAAGAAGCTATAGAAAAGCGTAAGCATGTAAAATGGAAACAAAGAAGATATAAAAATGACCTAACTCATGCTTAAAAAGATGAAAATAACAATGACTGAGATGAGAAACACACTGAATGGGATTAGCAGTAGAAGAAAATACCAGTGAACTTGAAAATGTAGCATTATGGGGGCCAGCATTATGGCTTCAAGTGGTTAAGCCACTACTTGTGACACCAGCATCCTATATTGACGTGCTGGTTCCAGTCCTGGCTGTTCTGCTTCCAATCCAGCTTCCTGGTAATGTGCCCTGAAAGGAAGCAGAAGATGATGGCCCAAGTGCTTGGGCCCCTGCCACCCATGTGGGAGATCAGGAAGGAGTTCCTGGCTCCTGGCTTCAGCCTGGCCCAGCCCTGGCTATTGCAGCTGTTTGGGAGTGAACCAGCTGATGTAAGATCTTTCTCTCTGTCTGTCTGTCTTTCCTTGTTTCACTGTTACTCTGCCTTTCAAATAAATAAAATACCGAATTTAAAATTCCCAGGCCACCAGAAGAGAACTGGGAGCCGACGCTGTGGCATAGCATGTAGAGCCACTTCCTGCAGTACCAGATTCCCATATGGGCACTGGTTAGAGTTCCAGCTGCTCCACTTCTGATCCAGCTCTCAGCTATGGCCTGAGAAAGCAGTAGAAGACAGCCCAAGTCTTTGAGCCCTTGCACCCATGTGGGAGACCCAGAAGAACCTCCAGACTCCTGGTTTCAGAGTGAGCCAGTGGATGGAAGACCTTTGTCTCTCTCACTCTCTTTCTCTCTCTCTCTGCCTCTGTAGCTCTTCCTTTCAAATAAATAAATAAATATTTAAAAAGGGGGGGGGGAGGGGGAAGAGAAGAGAGAAGAAGTGGAAGAGAGGGAGAAAAAGGAAGGGGAGGGAGAGGGATCTGGATTGGAAGTGGAGCAGCTGGGACTCGAACTGGCACCCATGTGCGATGCTGACGCCGAAAGGGGAGGCTTACCCTAGAACATTTGAAAGTCACAGAGACAGAACAAGATTTCCCACCCACTGGTTCATTCCCTGAATGCCCGCAACAGCCAGAACTGGGTAGGCTGAAGCCAAGAGCTCAGAGCTCCACCTGGGTCTCCCGCGTGGATGGCAGGGATCCAAGTACTTGAGCAGTCATCTGCTGCCTCCCAGGACGCACGTTGGCTGGAAGCTGGGTAAGAAGCAGAGGAGCAGGGACTTACACTAGGCACTCCGATAGGGAATGTGGGTGTCCCAAGTGGTGAGCCACTTTGCTCATTTATAACAACCCTCTCTTGAGAACTAATCAGGCTTCTGCGAAAACTGACCAGAGTTCTGTGAGAACCACATCAATTCCTTAAAAAAAAAAAAAAAATAGGTTAAGCCTCCATCTGCAGTGCTGGCATTCGTATGGGCACCAGTTCAAGTTCCGGCTGCTCCACTTCCAATTCAGCTCGCTGCTAATGTGCCTGGGGAAGCCGCAGAAGATGGTATAAGTCCTTGGGACCCTGCACCTACGTGAGACACCTGGATAAAGCTCCTGGCTCTTGGCTTTGGCCTGGCCCAGCACCGGCCTTTGCAGGCATTTTTGGGAGTGAAACAGAGAATGGAAGACCTCTCTGTCTTCTTCTTCTCTCTCTGTTTCTCTGCATTTCAAAATAAATCTTTTTAAAAATAAGTTTTTAAAGCTTTAAGTATTTATTTTGAGAGTCAGAGAGAGGAGGGCTCTTCTGTCTGTTGATTCACGCCCCAAGTGGCTGCAATAGCCAGGATGAAACCAAGATCCCAGAACTCCATCCAGATCTCCCACATGCGTGTAGGTGTTCAAGTACTTGGACCATCTTCCTAAACCTAGTGTTAGACTTAAATTGACATGTTTTCAGGAACTTCAAGCCTCAATTATATAAAATAATACCAAACCCAACCCTAACAAATTGGATACCCAACCTACCCAAACAGATTAGAGTTTGCCATTTGTCATTCCACAGGAAAACAGGCTGGCCTCTATCACTGACCAGTCAAAGGAAGGCCACAAACATTGTGGACCAACCAGAGGTCCACACTTGAGTTGATCATGCATTGCTCATCCCCAACTTTGGACTTTAAAATTCATGGCCTGTATTCCCTCCAGGAGTCCAGGAATTAAGCAGCAGTGGCCCAATTCCTTACTTTGCATATGTAATAAATGCCTATGTA